CTGCTCCCACTGTCCTGTACCCACTGTCTGACATGCCCCAGTGAGATGAACCCAGTACCTCAGTTGGAAATGTAGAAATCACCTGTCTTCTGCATTGCTCACACTGGGGGCTATAGACTGGAGCTGTTCCTATTTGGCCATCTTGGAACCACCCTAGAGGCATTTTCTTAATCTTGTCACCTCTCTGCAGTCAAAGGTCACCAGGAACACACCTGTAGTTAAACAAGCTCAACTTTCTGAGTGCAGTTTATTGCTTGATGAACAAGTTGAGTTCATTACTCAAAGAACAAAAGGAGACTGCAAGACATGAGGGAACCCTGGGGACTCTCAGGAAGAGAGTATTAGAAGAAACATAAGATCTGGGCTTCAGCTAGGTGATTTAGAGGAGGGTTTCCTGAAGTAGGGTTTGGCTCTGGATTGGATGCTGTCAGGAAGTGGGGGGTAATTTTGTGACTGGGTATATTTGTAAACCTTATCCTAGAGAAATGAAGATTTGAAAAAAGCTATTGTTGGCACAGAAGGAGTAGTCACTCATATCAGCCAGGATGGCAGGTGTTTGGTGCCTTTTGTGACTTGGGTAATGTTCTTGTTTTGTTGTCTTCAGACTAGATTTGGCAGTGGCCTTGTTGTTGTTGCTTGTTTTATCTAGACATTTTACCTTAAAAGAGATTTATATTTATACAAAAGTTATGAAGATAGTACAGAGAGGTCCCTCATATCCCTCACCCAGTTTCCCCTATGCATCTTGCACTAAAGTGGTACATTTGTTACAGTTAGTTAATTGATCCTAATACATTATTATGACCCAAAGTCCTCACTTTATTCAGATTTCCACCATTTTAATCAAATGTCCTTTTTCTGTTTCAACCTCACATCCAGGATGCTACATTATATTTAATAATCATGCCATCTTAGGGTGCTCTTGGTTGTGATAGTTTATGAGACTTCCCTTGTTTCCGATGACTCTTGACAACTTTGAGGACTACTGGCCAGGTATTTTGTAGAATGTCTTTCAACTGGGATTTGCCAGGTGGTTTTCTCGTGATGACACTGGGGTTACAGGTTTTTGAGAGGAAGACCAAGAAAGAAAGTACCATTCTCATCACCCCTTATCAAGAGAGCATACAATCCACATGACATGACAGTTAAGTTCAACTTTGGTCACCTGGCTGAAGTAGTGTGTATCAGCTTTCTCAGCAGTAAAGGTATGTTTTTCTGCCTTACCATATTCTACTCTTTGGAGGGAGGTTACTATGGACAGCATATGATTAAGGAGGGGAGAGTTCTTTTCTACCTTATCTTGGATAAAATATCTGTAAAAAATTGGAATTATTCTGCAAAGGAGATTTGTCTCTTCTCCCTATTTATTTATATCAGTATGGACTCATGGATATTTATTTTGTATTTCAAGTTATAATCCAAAAGCACTGTATCTGTTCTGTTGCTCAGCTTGCTCCAGCTTTAGCCATTGGGAACACTTTCAGCAGGCTCCTGTGTCTCTTTGCCATACTCCCATCATTGTGTGTGTGTTTATGTGTGTGCTTACTGACATTACAAGATTCTCCAGGCTCATGTTGTACAATCCCAGGCTCAGCCTTGGAATCAGTCATTTAGCCAAAGAGTCCTGGTTCCTTTTATTGTTGGATGACATTAGAAACCAAGGTTTGGGCTCTAGGTGTGCTCATTACTACTTGGTTGTCATTGCTTCTTGGCTCTCTCAGCCGACAGAGGAAGAAATCATGTGCATGCAAGCTGACTCATGCGTGGTAGGTAAATAGTGATCCCCCAATGATGTCTACTTCACAATCCCCATAACCTGTGAATATGTTACCTTACACGAAAAAGGAACGTTTCAAATATGATTAAGTTAAAGATCGTGACATGAGGAGATTATCCCAGATTATGGGAGTGGGCCTTATATAATCACAAGAGTCATGTTCTACAAATGAGCCAGAAATGCACCCTGTCTATTGGCTTAAAATGATCCACATGTTGTTTACTTCTTCACAGCAGGCTAGGACTATTGCCCCAAAGCCCACTGGTCCCAAACTCACATTCTCATATATTCAGTCTCTTTAAATATAATCTGAAAACGTATTTTTAAGTCCTTTAGAACGTACCTATTTTCCATTTCTCACAAAACTGCTCCCCACATCCACTTACTATAGAAAAGACAAACTCAATAGCTATAAAAGACCCCCAAATCACTGCTGGCCTTCAAAGCTCTGTGACCCAGAGAACTCCCCACCTTGCTGCTGATGACATCACCTACTCACGTAAGCCCCTTCTCTGGTTTCCTCCTCTTTCTCAGAAATTCCCTTGCCCTCATACCCTTCTGGGTGGTGGCCCCATGCTGCTGTCCCTGGAAGGTGTCTTGCAGAGACTTTGCCTATCATACAACCCTGTCCAAGCACGGTCCCAGTATAGCTTCTGTGCGACTGTCTTTCACAGTCTCTTCTCTTCCTTCTTCGATCCCCAAATACATGAACCACAGAGACTTTTAAGACGGAGGCAGAGGGATCAGAGTGCATAGTAGGAGACATTACTATGGAAAGAAGTTGGAGTGATGCTAGGAAGGAATAATGAAACAAGGAAGCCAGGCTGGTCCTAGAAGCTGAAAAAAGCAAAGAATTGAACTCTGCCCTGAAGCCTCCAGAAGGAACATAGCCCTAACCAGCAACCTGATGTTAGACCTCTGACCTCCAGACTCTAAAAGAAATTTTTGTTTGTTTAAAGCCACTACATTTGTGGAAATTTGTTACAGCAGCAATAGGACACTAATATATCTTGTGTACACACATACCTATAAATGTTTCTACATCTACCCTTCTTTATCTATATTAACATAAGCATGAGTTCATACCAATCTCTCCAACTCTAATCTCTTATCACATGAGTCATTGTAGCTGTCTCATTCACTCAACTAACTTTCCTCACCAAGAGTGAGAAATGTGGCTTCTACCATCACACATCCATTAACTTATTTGTCTAACCCAGGACCCATTCAAGCAATCTTAGAAATGTTCATCTATAGACTCCCAGGAGAACTTACGAGCCTCATCACAATGTTTTGACTTTGGCCTAATCCCAGGCTTTTATTTTTATTTTTAAGTTACCCTTCAACTTTCAAATTTTGAAATATTTTGCATGCATAGAGAATTTGATTCTTTCTTCCTGGAAAGTTCAGCACTATAGATGCTGCCCATACTCCCATCCCACTCCTTCCCACTAGACGCCTATCCCCTTCCCCTGACAGACTCACCAAGAGCTGCTTTGCAGGGTTTTACACCTGCTTGACCCCAGCCCCACTCCCATAACTGCACTTCCCCACCCAAGCCCCTGGCCAGCCCCAGAGCACCTGGTGTCTGTAGCTCCCATAACCGTCCCAACTCAACCACTGGGCTCTTCCAGAGGCTTCTACCCAGACACACACACACACACCAGTATGCGTAACTGTGTGCAGTGACACTGGAACAAAATGGTGAAATATTGAGAGGCTTGCAAAGGAAGGGAAGAGCATTGGAGACAGAAGAACGGTGAAAAGTAACACCAGTGGAGCTGGGCATTGCGAGTTCCATCTGAACTGTGACAAAAAGGATTCATTACTAGACTCCCAACACAAGCTTGAGAAGGCCATCTGTGGCTGCCAGTGGCTATGTTAGTGCTGAAATGGAGTCACCACCCAGAACAGCATTTCCAAGAATCTCTGGGGATAGGGGCACCCAGTATGGGGACGGTGTGCTGAGCGTGGGCCTGGATGAGCATAGGTGGGTGGGAGCAGGCTAACCAGCAACTCATCCCGTTCCATAGAGAAAGTAATGATAGGGACATGAATAAAGTTCCAGCTACTATGGGAGACCTGGAGATAAGGAGGTTCTTTGAATTCCACATGCTGAGCAACCCCTCAGCAAGAGGTGAGACACTGCAGCTTGGATTCCCCTAGGCTGAATTGCAAGAATAGAGTTTCTGATAAAGCAGCCAGCCCAAGATCTCCATGAAATCCCAGGGAGAGACCTGTGCCTAACATCCAGCATGGCACATCTGCAGGCAGGACACACTACAAAAATCCTGCTTTCTTTTCCCCAGGGAGAATATTTTGATGTCTACAATGCTCGTTCGATGGCTAAACACGTATCTCACAACTCTCTGGGACAGAGGTCCTGCAATCAGTTTCCAATTAAAATTGATAATTGACAAAACATTTAAAACATGCTATCTATAGAGAGGAAATGTAGCTCCAGTTCACTGAAAACTTTCACAAATGGTGAGTATTGACCTATTTAAGCAACAGACAGTGCCAAAAAGATTCTGACACTGACTTATGTATTTAGACACTGGTCCTGCAGAGCTAGGTCTCACCTTTCCATCTATAGGGCTGCTTATGGCAATCGCCATGACTCTTTGCCTTGGGGGCTTTTTGTCTCACCCTTAGAGCATGCTGGATATGACCCAAGGCCAACTGAAGGTGACAGGGATTTATATCTCCCATGGGGAAGTACTTTAATAAGTATGATTGCGACTTTGGTGGCTAAATACCCCCAAGCCATCTCATCCTGCACTTGGGATGAATGTGAGATGTGTGTTCTACAAAGTCTCCCATAGGGCCCCCCTGGGAATTAGCTCCAATTGCCCACAGTGGAAACCTGCTAGCTTATTCCTCCCATTTAAATTGGCTGCATTCCTTGTATGTCTCACCTCCCCACACCCTTACCTGTGCTGTCTGGGACTCTCTCCAAAGTTAGTGCTTTCTACTCACAAGTGTGCCTCAGGGTCTATTTCCAGGGAACACACACTTGAACACCTTGTATGCTAATTTATCCTCACACTTGAATGTCTGGCTAGAAGTAGAATTGTAGGTTCAAAGTTATTTTGCATCAACACTTGAAAGACCATTCTTTATTTCCTGAGCATTTCTGATTACCTCTTTAGCTCCCTTTCTTTTTTTCTCAATTTAAGAAGTATATCTCTTGCGAGAATTCTCTCCCCACTCTGCAAGCCACTCTCATTTTAAATTTATTTGATTTCAATTTTTACCCACGCTCTCCCCCAAACTTCAAGGGAGACAAATCAAGACCTCTAAGCGGGCTCCTTAAAGGCCCCTCCCCCTAGAAATTTAGGGTTGCAGGGCCTCTCCACGTGTCCACTCAGCTGCCCTTCCACCTTCTCGAAACAGGGCCCCTCGTGGCTCCAACACCCCCAGACTCTACAACGTTAGTAAACACCTTCTCAGGGGGCAGTAGGTAAAGTTCATCTGCTGTGGCCTCGGGTAACACAGAGACTGGTCAGAAGTCAAGAAACTAGGTGATCAAAGACCATGTACAACCAAAAGCAGTGAGAACACAGCTTCCATTTGTAATGGTTGCATCAGGGGAAGGATTTATTGATCCACACCATTTTCTTGGATTTTCTATCCTCCCCAGGGTGCAAAGGTGGGTTGATTGTATGGCGTGTTGGCAAAGGCCAGGTCCACCCTGGTGTGGTTTGTGTCAGTGTCCACAGCCACTCTGTCAGATCCACATCGTTTCTATGATTCCCAAGCTGTCTACTGAGTAAAACGCTCAGCACAGATTTAGAGGCCAGGCTGGGTCTCAAGTATTCGTCCGCCTTTCTCCTGATGCTCCGTGCAGATGTGCTGGGACCAACTTCAGAGTGTGCCTGAGCCATGACTGCTTGACTCCACAGATGGCTTCAGGAAGACAGCACAGAAGAGAGACCTGTGAAAGTTGATGGAATCTAGAATTACCTGAAGGAGAAGCATCAAGTAGCCCCCAAAGCCTCTCTGCACTTCTCCTCTCTAACCCACATGATCATAAAAGTCAGCTTTGTGGCAACTTGTGATTTTTAAATGCCAGGTATATAATTTCTTTGAGTTCCACATATGCATGAGTATATTTCTAGAATCTCTTTTTTGGTCCATGGACATGTCTATCAATTCCTGCTTCATTCATTAATACTACAGAGTAAGTTTTGAGTCCAGAATGACAAGCTACCCCTGTTGCATAATCCTTCACATTTTTTGGCAATATAATTTCATCTGATCTTCCAGTTACACACACATACTCAAAATTCTGCTACAAGCTATGATTAGGATTGTACTGGATATATTGATTTTATTAGAGGCGAATTGATGCCATTGCAAAAATTGATCTTCCTCTTAAGAAAAATGTAGTATTTTAAAATGTCATGTGTATATTCAAACTGAAGGCTCATAAAAAGTGACATGTGTGTTTTCCTTATATTTCATTATTTTTCCAGGTATTTCATAATATTTGCAACCAATGTAAATAGGATAGCTTAAATCTATGATATTCCCTATTTATTGGAAGACTGCAAATTTTTAATATATTTATGTATTCATTTATTTTTTATTGTAGAAATGGGGTCTCCTTATGTAGCCCAGGCTGGTCTTGAGCTCCTGGGCTCAAGCACTCCACTCCCCTCAGCCTTCCAAAGTGCCTATAAAGGCAAGAGCCACTGTGTCTGACCTAGTGTGCAAAGTTTTTATACATTTAACTTTTATCAATCAGCCTCTCCTGGCCTATTTTCTAGGTGATTGCCTTGGATTTTTAGGATGTCAAAGTTCCTTAAGAGAAAGATAGTTTTCTACTTTCTTTGTTAATAAAATACACCAATAAGTTATCTTCCCTCTCCAAATTGTTCAAGACAATGAATATGGCCTCAGGGTCTTTACATGGTTCTCTGTGGCCAGGAGAAAACCTGGAGGACCGAGCCTGCCTTACCTGCCACTCAAGAAAGGGTGTGTGTGACCTGGGTCACTTTAAAAACAAAAATTAAAAACGTGCTATCTATAGAAAGGGAATGTAGCTCCAGTTCAATGAAAATTTTCATAAACGGTGAGTATTGACCTATTTAAGGAACAGTCAGTGCCAAAAAGATTCTGACATTGACTTACATATTTAGACTCTGGCCCTGCAGAGCTACATCTCATCTTTGCATCTACAGGGCTGCTTATGGCAATCGCCATGACCGTCTGCCTTAGGGGCTTTTTGTCTTACAGTTGGAGCAGGCTGGATATGACCCAAGGCCAACTGCAGGTCTTGAACTCCTGGGCTCATGCAATCCACTCCCCTCAGCCTTCCAAAGTGCTGGGATTATAGGTGAGAGCCACTGTGCCTGACCTAGTATGCAAAGTTTTTATGCATTTAAGCTCTGTCAATCAGCCTCTCCTGGTCTATTTCCTAGGTGATTGACTTGGATTTCTAGGATGTCAGCTCCTTAAAAGAAAGAGTTTTCCACTTTCTTTGTTAATAAACTACACCAATAAGTTATCTTCCCTCTCCAAATTGTTTAGAACACTGAACATGGCCTCAGGGTCTTTACCTGGTTCTATGGGGGCTGGGAGAAAACCTGGAGGAGTGAGCCTTCCTTCCCTGCCACTCAAGGAAGGGAGTGTGTGACCTGGGTCACTTTACAGTAACATCAATTTCCTTAGTTCTTACATAAGACTGACTGGGCAGCCAGTGAGGAGGCAAGCCACATCTCATAATAGTCATTTTAGTTCCTCATGGGAACCACACTACAAAAAACACAAAGCGCTGTCCTCACGGTTATCCCTCTGACAGCCTGGAAAATCCATGTCCTGCATCTAGACAATACCCACATGGGTCACACTGTAATGGTAACAATGTAGTTATTCTAGATCAGAGACTTGGAAGGGAATATGTCTCAAGGAACTGGTCCAGTTTTAGCATAAGATTTTCCAAAGCATTAAAAGCCCACCTGCATCCCAGATCCACACAATAAAGGTGTGAAGCTCCACTGCACTGAGCTTTGAGAGGGTTTAGATAAGTGTGGGAGACACAGCAATGTTTAATTGAAGTGTTCAATTTCTGCAACTAAACACTCCATTTACATATATTGCGTATTATAGAAGGAGTACTTGCAGAGTTATGACCAAGGATGGATGCAAGATTGAGAAGCAAATAGGAAATTTGACCTGGAACTAGTTCCTGGATTGGAACATGGTGGACAAAGTTGCTGATCACTACCCAGGGTACAAGGCAAGATGCAATGGGTGCTGTTTATTTACACAAAGGAGAAATTTTAATGGATTTTATATGAGCCAGGGACAAGCTCTGAGGCCAGGATAGTTGAGGCAAGTTCTGTCTAGGAAGGAGACATGCATATGGCACCCGGCCACAGGATATACTCACCTCCTCTCCCAGCAACTTCCACTCACCTTATTCAGGCGTGAACCAGAAGGAAACCAGGGATGGTGGCCAGTGTTTGAATCTGCACTAGGTTCTGAAGGCAATTGTGAGTCACCATAGTAACTATGACCTCACTTGGTACTGAACCAATCAGGCCCTGGGACTCAAGGAAAGAGAGAGAGTGCCAAGCTGTTGCTGTTCACCCTCTGGTCCAGATCTTTTCTTCAAAAGAAACCTGAGTGGTCTCACAGGTAAAATACCCTGATATACCAAGATCATAGAGCATCCTTTTGTGCCATTAACTAACTAACCTACCAGATAAACCCCAACCCTATTTGGTAATGGGGAGAGTTTATCAGAGAGTCATTTGTTCAAATTGATACAGAGACACTATAGAGCAGTGGGTAAAAGCAGAGGCTTCAGACACAGGCTTTCTCAGTTCCAATCTCACCTCTCTGTCACTTGGGCAAGGTTTTTAATCTCTCATGAGGGGTCAAAATAGAGAACACTGTTTTGAATCTGTGTGCTAGATTCAAATGAAATGCAGAACAGGGTTTTGGCGGATGAGTCAGGGCCAGGCATCAGAGGTGAGTACAATCTTTAAGCCACTGTGATTACGTTCCCAGGATGGAAAATCAGCAGGATGGATCTTAGAAACAGAAACTAGGTAGCACTTGAGAATGTCCAGTTTATTTCCTACACAGGGGTTTGGAGTAAGATTCATACCTGCTTCACCAGTGATTTTCAAAGGAGGCAAATCCTATTTGAAGCTGAAGTCACGTAAAGAGATTTGGAATGAGGAAACAAATTATAGCAGCCTGCAAGTTGTAGAATGAAGAACTGCAAATGTAAAGTACTGAACTCTGTTATGGATAGATTTACCAAAGAGAATTACTCTGTACAACATGAATAATGTAGTTCAGAAGGAAGCCCATATTCCAGGTACAGGGAAAACTCAGAAGTGAGAAGAAGACAGCTCTGAAAAAAAGCAACATAAAATCCAGTTAACATTAGTGTGGGTATAAGAATTACAACGACACTTGAGCTATAAGGTAGTGTTTTGTGTACAATCTAACAAGCCTGTGTGTGACAGGTAATGATCAGAGTGATGCAACAGTGTGCCCTTAGTGTCCCGGGTCCCATCAGGCTGATGCACAAACCCACGTGTAAGACAGATTGAAGAAACAATATGGTTGGTGCTTCCTGTGACTACTGCTGGTAGCAGTGTGTGTGTGTGTGTGTGTGTGTGTGTGTGTGTGTGTGTGTGGTTTTGTGCCAGTGAGGAAGAGGTTGTCGGGTCCACTTGATTACCTAGAATGCATCGTCTTTTTCAGGCTTCCTCGGTTGCGCTGTTTTACTGGGGTTGTGTGGAGTCAACAAGTCATGGATAAAGAACTCCCGAAAGGCAGCCCCAGAGAGACCGCACTGAACATCAAGAAATCAGACAAATCCTTCAAATGCAAGAAGCCCACCAAAAATGTGCTGGTCTTTTTAATCAACAGACAACTGGGCAGGCACAGAAGTGACATCGACCTGTCAAGGTGGCTGTGGATGCTGTCATAAAGCAACTCCAGGGTAGACATGGCCTTGGACAAAAAGTCATGTGGCTTATGTGCTGAGGCCTGCCCAGAATTTTGAGAAATTAAATATAATTGGAACAATAAACTCTCCTTCCATGTTTGAGCCATTAAAACAGAGTCTGTCATTTCACTCCTTTAGGTTGGATGTGTGTTTGCTGACAGGGTGTTCTTGGGTTACACTGGAAGGGGCTTCTGTTCATCCTAACACGCTGTGCAGGAGTGCTCAGATACAGGAGAGAGGGTGAGATCATGCTGCACACCAGATCTCCCTCATCATCAATCTGAAAAACACTGCGAAGTCGAAGTGATGTAGTACTTGGCATTCAAGGACCAAAGACTCTAATCCCTAGCCATTTTGGAGAGACAGCCCTGGTGTTCCCCTCTAAAACCCAATGCTTGCCCTAGTGAAAAGACATTGTTTAAGAGCAGACCAAGAGTTGGGCTGGGGCTTTGGGATATGTTTTAACACTGCCAATATCATATCCACAGAGCCTTCCAGAGGCAACCGCTCTGCTCTTTGTCCCCAGGAAAGTATAGAATGCTCTGGTCGCTTTTTTTCTGGCATGTCAAACAAACCTTCTCAGGCTACAGCCAAATAGAATTCATTTGACTGAAGTGAAGCCACCTGATAGGACAACAACACACATGAGATGGCTCCCGTTGAAGAAGCTCTGTCCCCAAGCAATGTGCTGAGCAAGTCATATACTCATTCTGAGAAACCTGAAATGGGAACTATGTGGGCAATTGGTCACTGACAAGTGAGAGTTAAAGCTGAAGAGGGGACAGGGAGAGCAAAGAGGTCAGAGCCATGGTGAACATGGGCAAGCCTAAGTGAGGAGTAAGATGAAATTTACATAAGGTGAACCATTAAAGCCATCACAAATTCCAGGCATTTCTCTAGTCCTTTCACGTGAGATGCAAAATAAGCCTGCAAGCAGTCCTCTGTCCCCTCTTTCTCTCCTCCCCAATTCCCTGTGTTCTCACAATCTGTCCAGCATTCCCCAGAGCCCCTTCCTGTGTCCCCTCCCCCACCACATCTAAGGGGCTGTTACTCTCTCTCCCCTTAGCCAAGTCTCTTCCAGATTTTTTATATGGTAGAAAATTAAACTGCTCTATGTCCTTTTCACCATCCTCTTTGTCTCTGTCACTTTCTCTGTCCCTGCACTGATGCAGCATTGCCAAAAAGGAGCCACCAGCCTCTCCTCAGAGGATGCAGCTGGCTGTAGGATGGAGAGGAGAGGTTAGAGGCTGCCAGGTAGAAGGGCCTCCTGGGTGCACTGTTGGGAGGAATGCTGCCTGGACACTGCTATGTTGGTGACTATTTACCTGCAGTCCAGCATCATACAGTGGCTGTGAGGTGGAGAAGAGGTGGGGAATGGAGGCTGAAAGAACAGCAGGCAGGGCAAGAAGGAGCCAAACCCACAGGAGCAGAGGCTGACAGCAGCCAACCTCCTACACTCCATGGCTACATAACAGAAGAGACAGAATTTGGGATACAGAGTTACAAGTGAATAAATTTCACCATCATACTGAGTGAGAAAACAAGTAGCACAGAATTATGTACCAAAGAGAAACTCAACTGTGCCAAGCAGTACTTGGATATACACATAGACAGTAAAGTTACCCAGACTAGAGCAGCAGCACATTCAAGTGGAACTCTGTCCAGTTTCCGACTTGGCTAATGCCCCCAAAACAACTGGTACCAACTATTTCCCATCTTGCAAAGAGTTGCCTAACAATGGAGGCCTGGTAAAGAAGGCAATCACAAACAATCATGTGAACTCTGACCACTCACCCACCTGCGGATGGCTATTCACACTGGAATTCTGGGTGGGTTGGAGACCAGAGAGGCACGCTCCCCAGGGATTGGATGGTGTTCTGAGTTTAAACGAGGAAAACTTCCTACACTTCAAATTTACTGGAAGATTGGGGCTACTCAGTGTTCACCTAGAGAACTTGACTTTTGTTTCCAGAAGTGAAACTCACAAGTAAGAAATTCAGAAGGAAAGTGGCTGTAGAAGAGGGAGAGAAGATTTGGCCAAAATTCCTCTGAAGAGGTTTTTCTCAGATCTTAGTGGCGGCCAAATGTAACCTTCTCGGGACGGGGAAGCCGGTGGAAATCTGGATGCAGCTGACTTACAGGAATCTGAGGCTGAGTGGAGACCACGCACACAGTGTCAGGAGACACTCTACTACTCTTTCATTTCTAGCTGCTGCCTCTCATTGCTCAAATCACTAACCAGACAGCCAGGAAGCCAAGGTGATGCAGTCCATGGTATCAGACTTCTGGAACACACAGCCCTGCAGAGAAGCATATATCTAGTTGGACAAACTGAGAAGAATCAAATCAATTCACCACTTTTTTCTACTTCCATCACCCACTGTTGCTTTAATCAGAGGAATAAAACCCTTGCCCAACACATGGTAGCATCCACAGTGTTGTGGGCCATCTTATCATAACAGATGAGGTCGATTTGATTATAATACCATGTGGAACCTAAGTTGTAACTCTAATGGTTACAAGAAAGTTTCCTACACATTCACATTGACTGGGTGAAAGAAAAGTCACCTTGGCAGGGCATAGAGGAAGATGGCACAATAGAAACCTACGCTACTCATCCCATCTCCCTTCACTGGAACATCAGATTTTAACAACTATCTGCACACAAAAAACACTGCCACAAGAACCAAGAATTAGGTGAGCAATCACATCACCTGGTTTTAACTTAATATCACTGAAAGAGGCATTGCACAGGGCAAGAGAGGTAGTCTGGAACCGCCAATGCTACCCCTCCTCCATTCACCAGCATGGAGAGTCTGTGCACTTTGGGGAGGGAGAGTGCAGCAAGTGGGAGACTTACCTTGAACTCAACGCTGCCCTATCGCAGCTGAAAACAAATCCATGCAGGGTGCAGCCAGTGCCCACACACAGGTGTGGGGTGCATTTTGACCAGCCCAAGCCAGGAGAATCGCCCTTCCCATCAGTTGAAACTTGAGCTTCTTCTCAAGCCTCGCCACTGTGGGCAAAAGCGCTCTAGAGTCCTATGTAAACTTGTAAGGCGGTCTAGGACACAAGGACTGCAGTTTCTAGGGAACTCCTAGTGCTGGGCTGGGCTTACAGCCAGTGAACTCAGGTGGCACGTGACCTAGGGAGACAGCAGCTGACATGACTAATGGAGTCCGTGTGCCATCCCTCCTCCAACCCCTGGTAGTACAGCTCACAGCAATTAAAATGTCCCCTTACTTCTGCTTAAGGAGAGGAGAGTGAACAAAGGTAGTCCTTTATAGCAGTGTAAAAATGGATTAACACAGTAAAGGGGACATTATCTTGCATCTTTGATACCAGCTGAATCACAGTAGAATAGTGCACTGGGTGGAGTTGTAAAGCTCCTTTCCAGGCCCTAGCTCCTGGACGACATTTCTAGATACACACTAGGCCAGAAGGGAGCCCATTGCCTTGAAGGAAAGGACCCAGTCCTGGCAGGACCTATCACCTGCTGACTAAAGAGCCCTTGGGCACTGAATAACACCCAGCGAGATGCAGGGAGTAAGCCATGGGCCTTGGGCTCTGAGACGTGCTGACTTCAGGGATGACCCAGCATTCTCCCACCTATGGTGAAGGACTCCTTCCATTTGAAACAAGAAGAGCAACAAGCAGGCTGTTGGGGTCCTCGAGTCCAGGTCTCAGCTCTTAGACAGCATTTCTGGACCTGCCCTGGGCCATAGGGGAACCCACTGCCCTGCAGGGTGAGCCCCAGGCCTGGCAGCATTCACTACAAGCTGATGAAAGAGCTCTTGGGCTTTAAGTGAACATTGGTGATGGCCTGGTAGAACTACCCATGGACCAGTGGTGATGGTGGCCACAGGGGGAGATTCCTATACCTGTGCAAAGGGGAGGGAAGAGTGGGAAAACTGTATTGTAGTTGGAGTGCCAGCTTAGCTGCAGTCGAACAGAACAAAAAGTAAATTGCGAAGGTTTTTTTACTCTAATCCCTGGCTCCCAGACTGCATCTCTGGACACACCCAGGACCTGGGGGAACTCCCTGCCTTGAAGGGAATGACCCTGGGCAAGGCCCACTGCTGTGATGGCCTCAGGTCAGGCCCAGTACAGTCCCAGTGGTGGTAGCCACAGAGGACTTTCATCACCACACGCCAGTGTCAGGTGCTCAACACAAAGCACCCTACTCCATTTGTATGGCATCTGTTTCTGGAGGTGGGGAAGTATATACCCAGTAATGGGATTTCTGGGTCAAATGGTAATTCTAGTTCTAGATCCTTGAGGAATTGCCACACTGTCTTCCACAATGGTTGAACCAATTTACACTCCCACCAACAGCGTAAAAGTGTTCCTATTTCTCCACATCCTCTCCAGCATCTGTTGTTTCCTGACTTTTTAATGATTGCCATTCTAACTGGCGTGAGATGGTATCTCATGGTGGTTTTGATTTGCATTTCTCTGATGACCAGTGATGATGAGCTTTTTTTTCATGTGTCTGTTGGCTGCATAGATGTCTTCTTTTGCGAAGTGTCT